GTTAATTATTAAGATTGTTACAACATTGTTTTAGGTAAATTTACAAAATCTGTGATTGGTATTGTTACAATAATAGCAACTGTAAAGTGAGTTAGTACTTCTCTGTTGTTAATTATTAAGATTGTTACAACATTGTCTTAGGTAAATTTACAAAATCTGTGATTGGTATTGTTACAATAATAATAGCAACTGTAAAGTGAGTTAGTACTTCTCTGTTGTTAATTATTAAGATTGTTACAACATTGTCTTAGGTAAATTTACAAAATCTGTGATTGGTATTGTTACAATAATAGTAACTGTAAAGTGAGTTAGTACTTCTCTGTTGTTAATTATTAAGATTGTTACAACATTGTCTTAGGTAAATTTACAAAATCTTTGATTGGTATTGTTACAATAATAGCAACTGTAAAGTGGGTTAGTACTTCTCTGTTGTTAATTATTAAGATTGTTCCAACATTGTCTTAGGTAAATTTACAAAATCTGTGATTGGTATTGTGACGATGACAACAGCTATAAAGGGAGTATATATTCATCTTAGTACTTTTGTTCCTAATGATGAAATAATTATAGCACATTAATCGAAGATCAGTTAAGTACGTTAGTATTGTTATATGTCAACAGCAGCCGTATTAAAGGTGAATGAGTAATTGTATTGTTAATTGTCTAAGAATTTTTCAAAACAAATCAACACTAGTAACTACTGATGTTACAGTGGTAGCATTCTTTAATTCAAAACACTGTCTCATAAAAGCAAGCTATCTAAATAGCTGGAAATTAAACTTTATCAAACTCAATCTCCATGAGTTGAATGAAATAAAGATGATTGAAATGCAACATTTTTCTTCACAGGAGGTGATACTTGATCAAATTGATGTCAACTCTGCTTATATACTTTTCTATGAACGTGAGGGTATTGATTACAACAGCTACCTCCCAAATGTTGAGGGTATGCTACCAGATACAAAAGACATTGATGATGAGTTTGAAAGTGATTTTCGCAAAATTTGTTGTCTCCAGTGATATTTCCTACTCATTTTTATCCTTTTGTTGCTGTATAGCCTTTGCTTCAAAGTAATCAATGTTGCAAGCATGTGTGTGTTGTGAAGTGTATCCCATGATTCAAGTTCTATGTCAAAGTGACCTTAAGAGGTAGTCAGTCTACATTGTTTGGTCTGTGATCACTTGCTTTATATATATATATATATCTTAGTGAGGTCATGGCTTTGTACAGCGTGATTTACCCTCTTCTAAATCCATTGCTTATTGAAAAATTAACGTCTGATAATAAGACATCCTCATTATTATTATTTTTTATTGGTGATTAGCTAATGAGAAGCATTTTTTAATCATACGGGATACGTTACAATCACTCGATTGAATGATTTATATTTGTCTTACAAATACTAATTGTTTCATTCTTTTGCAAAAATGACTAATACGTTGAACGTCTTTAAAAGTGTGGATAAGTTTGAGGATTCTGTTATAGAATGTTAGCTTTCTTACATTCAAACTTACATAGAATTCTTTTTTTTTTTTGTTCCAGAATACGCAGCAACGCTTCATTTTTTTTTCTTCTTCTTCTTCAGATTCGGTACCTTGTCTTGCTTGTACCTGGTTCTTTAACAATGAACTGAACTAGTACAATTTATGGAAGCTGTATATATATAATTTTATAATACTGAGAAAGTTGGTAATTATCATTTAACAATTTTCGTTATAAATAATAACATAATTCCCGTTGTGTAGCATGTATTTTTATTAGGATAGAAAAATACATTTTATTGACTTTGCTACTTATTTTTGTACATTGTTTTTTTTATTTGCTCAAAACGTCTAATATAACAGATACCTTGCCAGTGTTTACATTAATGTTGTGGTCACAATAATAGCTTTACAACTAGAGTTGACACATTTTTAAACTGTAATATGGGTAATTACTTAAAGAATAACTCCGAAATATCCATTATAGTTATTGTTCTAGTGTTAGCGCCTCAGTCAGATGAGCAGACAGAATTTGTGCATGTGATATTTTTATCAACAACCTTTCTTAAGAATATGAATACCAGGAAAGAAAATAAGTTAAGAATGCTCTATTAAGTTTTTGTAATATTGAAAATGTTTTTAAAAGCATTTTATTTGACCTTGTAGTCATAGCAAACTTGAAGTTTGTAAATATTGATGTACCTTGTAAATAAGATGAGATATTTATAAAAGGCTAAGTGTAAGTTTGAATGTGAATTTATTCTTTTAATTTACCTATAAAACTGCAACAGACAGAGCATCGTATGAAAACTCAGATTTAGCAATTAAACAAGGTCATTGTGGTATTTTTTAACTTTTACTGAATCCCTACAGGTTTAAATCAAATGAATCGGGTATTGTGTACATCAGCAAAAGACAGTGCGGAATAATCAAAGATGTATGTCATATTGTAGAATAAATGTGTTTTTTTTTTTATAAGAAGGATATCAAGTATTTATAAAAACCAAGATATTTTTTAGAGTTTGTATTTACTTTCTTACAGTTTGAAAACCTCAAATCGATAACCTAATAAAATAAATGCAGGGACATTTGTTTTACAGTTTGATAAACCACTTCAGTAAATCTGTTATTTCTACTTATGGGATTGCTATTTAATCCATGTTTATAATTTACACACAGAAATAACAGAATGACTGAAGTGGCTTATGGGATTGCTATTTAATTCATGTTTATAATTTACACACTAGAAATAACAGAATGACTGAAGTGGCTTATGGGATTGCTATTTAATTCATGTTTATAATTTATACACTAGAAATAACAGAATGACTGAAGTGGAACATGTGAATTGTGAACACAATTGTTAAATACTGAGGATTAAGTAGGGGAAGTTTTATTCAGTAGTACGTGTCAATTCAATTTTTCCTATGATGGAGTTAACCAGTGCTCACACTCAGCCTTCTAGAAATATATAGGTACTTCTTGAGTAAAAATGTAGGTATAATATATTTTCCATTTCTGATATATAAATTATTAAAACCCAAATATCACAGATCTAAAATGGCTATATTTTGAATCAGACTAGTATAATATTCATACATTTTGTTCATTCATTCAATGTAAAAGCATTTTCTGGTTGTTATTAGCCAGAAAATCATTCCACAAACACCTTATTCAAATTAAACTAAATTCTGAATGACTTTATCAAAATTCGTCATCAACCCAATAATGATGACGTGCTTCAGACTGGAGGATGTTACGTAACTCTTTAAATTTCTTTTTCAGTAATAAAGCCAGTGAATAACATTGTTTGAAACTTGACAAGAACTTTCATAAAAGTATGTAGTTTGATAAAAAGTAAAATATTTAATTTTGATTTTTTTTCTACTGTTTCGTTATTTAATATTGTTATTTGCACATGGTCACTGAATAGTTCGCTGAAAGATGATTTTGATGTTAAGTATTAAGAATGTTAGTTTTTATCTTTTACAGTTTTTCACATTTCATTTGCATAACCTCTAGAACCTCCTAAATGAACATCAAAAGTTTTTTTTTTTTAAAGGTAAATGTTTATATTTTATTTTCCATTTTCTCTACCATATCACTAACTGTAGATATTATCATCAACGAACAGTGTAAGGAAATGTTTAAAATTAAGAAATAGAAATATATGCATGCCTTTTAACTATTCGTTGAATAATCTTAATATATCTTCCTTGGGTCGTTTTTCACAACTTTGTCTTTACCTTTTTCACTTAGTTTATTTTTAGTGTTTTATTTTCCTTTCATGTTCTTTACTGTTGATTATTTATGTCAACACACGTCAATGGGTATCCGTGGGTGATAGAATGGTATGAACGGCCGAGATACCTTAGTCTCCGGCAAGATATTTTTATACGTGCTTGGTAATGTAAGCCTTGCAGAGCGAGGGGGAAACTTTAATTATTTTATAAAAATTATTAAACCTTTCAAGTGTGAATTTTAAAACAAACGTAATACATAATTAACTAAAATATAAAAGTAAAACCTAAATACAGTTTAACTGTTTCTCTAACTATAGGTAAGAAACAACTGAAGTGCTATTGTGAACAGTTTCATCTACTTAAGGGCAACAGCTTGGTGCCAATTTCAAAATAACCATTATTGCATTATAGTGTAGAATGAGCTCTTTCTAATGACTATAAACACGTACATGTAACTTCTAAAGGTGGGCGTGGCACCTGTCAGAGGTTGACAACATTTATTTCTTGTTTCAACTGCATTCGGCAAAAATACTTTGAAGCATATGTGTCAGAAAATTAAGTAAACTACATCGTTGTCTATATTAGTTGTACTTGACTACCCCCTTATGCTTCAAGCTATACTTTGCCAAATTTCGACATTGTTTTTAGCTCGCGAGTCATGTGACACAAAAGTGAAACACCTCATTATTACTTTCAGTGTTTCTTTTGCAATAAAGGAATAAATTAAGGTAACAGAACTTTGAACCGTAATATATTTGATAATAATGTCATTAAAATACATTGATCATAAAGTGGTTTAATTAAATTTTGTATGTAAGTCAGCAGCATGCGTAGAAAGGGTTTTAAAAATGTGAGGTAGACTGGTTCCAGCAATTATCCACCTATTGAGAATTACAAATGCTGCACACTTCTTTACAGCATTCTTAGGCACATTTATTCTGCCAACCAAGTGGTCATGGTTATACTTCTAACTTAAAGATGCATAAACATTAAGCCCAGTGTGGCTGTAAATACACAAAGAATTGTTGAAACCACCATCTGTTGGTATTTGTAACAACATTGCTACATGATATGTTAGGTAACAGAAATGTGGGGAAAACTATTATTCGTAATACAGGATTTATATCAGTTAGTTTGTTAAGATGCAGGTAGAACAGGAACAATAGTTTCGAAGACTAATGTGGTGATTTTCAAGTGAAATTATTAACATAACTGTATTGCGTTGTGTAGAACGTTTGATACACATGATTAATAGGCTCTAGTCTCATCTTACTAAGCACATGTACTAAGCATAATTTCAGTGTTATGGACCAGTACATGACCATGTTGATTCTCCAGTAAAGTCTTGTAAACTAGTACGCATATGACAATGTGGATTGTATAGTAAAGTGTTATGGACCAGTACATGACCATGTTGATCATACAGTAAAGTCTTGTAAACTAGTACACATGACAATGTGGATTGTATAGTAAAGTGTTGTGGATCCATGCATGCATGACCATGTGGTAAGTATATTTCTAGTCTTGTGGACCAGTGCCTTACCATGTGGATTGTATAGTCTTGCAGACCAGTTCATGTATGGTAATGTAAAATTGTATAGTAGTCTTGTGAACCAGTGTATGCATGCCCATGTGGATTGTACAGTGAAGTTTTGTGGACCAGTGTATGCATGACTATGTGGATTGTACAGTGAAGTTTTGTGGACCAGTGTATGCATGACTATGTGGATTGTATAGTACAGTCTTGTAGACCAGTATATGCACGACTATGTAGATTGTATAGTACAGTCTTGTAGACCAATGTATGCACGACTATGTAGATTGTATAGTACAGTCTTGTAGACCAATGTATGCATGCCCATGTGGATTGTACAGTGAAGTTTTGTGGACCAGTGTATGCATGACTATGTAGATTGTATAGTACAGTCTTGTAGACCAGTGTATGCACGACTATGTAGATTGTATAGTACAGTCTTGTACCAGTATATGCATGACTATATGGATCATATAGTGAAGTTTTGTGAACCGGCTAATGCATGACAATATAGATTATAAAGTCTTGTTGACCAATGCATGACCATATTGATTGTATAACAATTCCTACCAAAAACTATATTAAAATACTTTTTTTTGTTACATTTCAGTCATGGTTTACAATTTATCTTAATGACAAAACAGGTTTAAATTTATTAATAGTAGGTGTTATTATTTTGTCAAAATGACTTGGGAATATTTCATCAATTTTATGTAAAAACTGTCAATAAAGCTTCTTTAATTTTGTTTTTAAATGTTTCCTAAAGATTTTTTGTGTATTATATTATGATCATTTGAAACCATCAAGGTGTAAGCAAGAGAAAATTTAGTGCCAAATTTGCTCAGCTGTGTAATTAGGGTATCCAGTGGATAAACATCAGATATGTAGACTTTGGTTACCTGGGAAAGCTTTGAATGGTGTAAACTTTAATTCTCAAAGTAGTCTATATGACTTACATTATTACCTGCCATTCTAGTCCTAATTAAACCCGTCATTTGCAAGATTCCGAGATTAGACCTGTTACTTCTGCAAAATACAATGTTGGGGGAAAGAAATAGCATAAATTATTACGACTCTAGCCGTAAACCGTATATAACTCGTGCCTCATTTGTATATTCTTTTAAGGAGAGTCGTACTTAATTATATAATATCCTCACCATATTTGATTTTATATACTCTCACCGATTTTATCATCGTATTTAGTTTGATGTTGGAACTGAGTGATACTCTCACCATATTTGATTTTATATACTCTCACTGATTTTTATCATCGTATTTAGTTTGGTGTTGGAACTGAGCGATACTCTCACTGATTTTTATCATCGTATTTAGTTTGGTGTTGGAACCGAGCGATACTCTCTCAGCACTTTTAATTTTTTAAGCTTGTAGTCTTCTTGCAGATAGAACAATAGTTTTAATGATTTCTACTTTCTTGCCACGTAACCGATTCAGGAGAGTAATAAGACCTAACTACTGTACAATGAATTTAATCTTTTAGTAATAATGCATGATTAAAGATCTAATTTTGATAAAAATAACTGACAAACTCTCATTTCAAACTATGAACTTTCACGGTCCACAAATCGGTAGAAAGTCATTTTAAAAGATGATAACAAGAAGCTCAAAATCGGAACATCCAACAAAAGTTTTATGCGAGTGTTAAAATCATGGTTGTATTGATGGTCTATCTTCAAATAAAACTTAAATTACTGCATTCATTCCCAGTATGCAGGAGATCACTTTACAGGTTTTGAATAATGTGAAAACTGTAGCATGTTAATAGCATACCCAGAAATATTCTTGGTGTAGCCTTCAACTTGTCCAGATCGTCTATCAGAACAGCATACTTTGTCTTATCATCCTGAGCAAAATGACCAAACCACTCTTTCTTTCGAGGTTTTAAAAGAGTTTAACCAAATGCTCTTTACTGTGGCCTGTATCCAGTCTGCAGAAAGACCAGTTTTCT